GTAATAATCATAAATAAGAATAGAATACTTACTTTAGTATGGAACTTATCTGTTTGATTTAGGAAATGGTCCCAAACACTAGACGTGGCGGAAATCACAATGACAGCCCTAATGGTAAGAACGATCACGATAGTCATAACTAAGAACCATATCAAGAAAATAATAATTAGAATATGGGTTACCAAGGAGTTAGATCAAGTAGGCATCAACCCTACATGATATTACTCGCATAATTAGTGACTGTACTAACCGTGGTAGCCCAAGCATTACAAGCCCAGACACAATTAGCACAGATTCAGGCTGTTCAAATCTAGAATCATGGGTAAGAGGGATCAATCATATTATGAGAAAATGAAAAGGGTCCATGTCCCTACCTTTGATGAAACTCTTGACCCGGATTTGGTGGAAAAGTGGTTAGATAAAATAGAAAATAATTTTACACTTTTCCTGATGAGAATATAAAGACCAAGGCCCATTCAAGCACATGGGGAATTGGAAGATTCAAGTGAAAACTAGTTGATTGCACGAATGCTTGAGTTTAGTAGGATTATATGATTTTCCTCGTTGATTTTGGTTATTTCTCGTTTTAAAAAGTCTAGGTAATTAAGATAGTTTAATTGCGGCCCATTTGTTAATAAGTAAGGCCCAAAATCTTTCTTAAGTATGTAGGGTAGTTTGGTCAACTTTTGGATTAGGGTTAATGCTTGTAAGCGCTATAAATAGCCTCACTTCCTCTTTGTTTGGGAGGAGTTTTTGGCTATTAAATACAATTAGTGAGTTTTCACTTTCTCTTTGGCAAGAGAGTTGCCTTTGAATACTTGAAAATTTTCTCAAGTTATTCACCCGAACTTATCAATCGAGTATCTCCTTGATTGTGGCGTTCTACTACCTCCAATTTGGTTCGTTAATTCGAGTAGTTACGGGTTGAGATAATATCAAAATTGTTCGTGATTTCTAGGGATTAGTTGGGTCAAATTTCCGCTGCCTAAGCCATGGTGTTTTAGTTGTCTAGATCAGGGTTTCACATCAGTTGGTACCAGAGCTAGTCGACAACCACCAGGTTATATCTTTTTTTTTTCTCTTCGTTTATTTCGAGTCATATATGTTTATCCCAATCTGTTCGTTTGTTTAGAACCAAAAAAAAAATTTATTACTGTTCATCGTACTGTTCACCGTTATTGTTCACCGACACTGTTCACCGTTACTGTTCATAGTTACTGTTCATCCGAATACAAATCTGTCCAGCCTTGTTGTTTGTGTTATCCAACTTGTTTACTTGGTTTTCAAATCTGAATTTGGCAAAACTTGTTGGAATTTTGTGAATCTTGAAGAGAACTTACAATAATCTTGAGTTTCTTGCATTCTTGATCACAATTTTGAAATTTATGAAGTTCCTGACAACTTCCTTGAAAGTTCTTGAAAGATCTTGGAGTTCTTGGTAGTTATTATTTGTGGACTTCCTTGTTTTGTGTCGTGGTTGATAGTTGTAGTCAAGAAAAAAAACAGAAAACAAAAATGAAAAGAAAAAGAAAGAAAAGAGGAATCGGTTGGCAAGAAAAAAAAAAGGAAAGGAAAGAAAGTGGCAACCGAATTGTTTTAAATAGGGGACCAAATCTGATTTGTGCAATCTTTCTTGGAGTAGAATTTGGAAGTTACCTAAAGGTTGTTTCAAGAAGGTTACCAAAAGTTGTTTCAAGAAGATTACCAAAAATTGTTTCAAGAAGGTTACCAAAAGTTGTTCAAGAGGAAAAGGATTTTCAAACGGTTTCCAAAAACTAACTTGTTTCCAAAATCAATTAGGAAACTAAATAAAGCACTTGGATAACTCTTTGTACTCATTTGGACACTCTCTCTCCTACCTTTTTTAGGAAGATTTCCCAAACTCTCTCATCCATTTTTTTTTTTTTTTTTGAAAATTTTCCTAAATTCTCTCATCCATTTTTTTAGGAAACTTTCCTAAATTCTCTCATCCATTTTTTAGGAAACTTTCCTAAACTCTCTCATCCATTTCTTTTGGAAACTTTCCTAAAGTCTCCCATCTATTTTTAGGAAACTTTCCTAAATTCTCTCATACATTTTTAGGACCTTTCCTATATTCTCTTATCCACTTTAGGAAGCTCTCCTATATTCTCTTCCTAGATTTTAGGAACACTCTCCTACACTTTCTCCTATATTTTCTCTTATATTTTGTCCTAGTTTTTAGGAACACTTCCCTACACTTTCTCCTACATCTCCGTGATTACTCTTGAGGGAGAAGTTGGTGACAATCATTTGGGCTTGAGCAGTATTTCTCAAACTACTTAACCCAACAGGTAAAGGTGTTTGGTAAGTCCATTGGAGCACTTTGAGTGACATACACGAGGACGAGTGGATACACGTAAGGGAGCGTGAAAGGCAATATCTTCGGTTTCGTTGCTAACTTTTTGCAGGTTCCCTCATACGTCATGGCGAGTATAAGACGCATAAAAGCTAGCCCACAACATTGTCTTCCTGATCCTAAGAGAGTCAAAGAAGTGGCATTACGTGGTGTAGATGAGCAATTGGACCTCGTCAAATCTCAGTTGCTTGGTTGGTTTTATACTCGTTGCGGTGTCAAAGATAAAATTTGTAGCTTGGCCATTGATGGTAGTTGTGAAGTCAATCTTGCAAGTGCTATCATGGTTGAGAAATTAAATCTTCCAACCATTGATCATCTTCAACCTTACAAGTTGACGAGCACTCATAGGGATGTTTGGGTTACTAAGCACACACTTGTACCTATTCAAATCAGCAAATATGTGGATGAGGTGTTGTGTGATGTAGTCCCAATTCAAGTGACACATGTGTTGTTGGGCAAAGCATGGATGTCGAGGCGAGAAGTTAAAATTGATGGACATACTAATAAGTATTCCTTCTTATTTAATAGTCGTCGTCTTGCACTTGTATCACTTACTTATGACCAACTTTGTATTGATCTAGCATGCATGAAAAGTGCGCTTGAGCGTTATAGAATGGAGAAAAAGCTAGATGAGGGAATTGTGCCTGCAGAGGTAAAACCCGAGGAAGTTGAAAGTAATGAGATAAAAGGGTCAGCTGTTGAACTAGAAAAAGAGATGGAAAAATCTAATGAGATGGGTGGTAAAAAGGAAGAAAGAAGAGAAAGTGGACTGATCTTGAGCAACCCGGTGAAGGCCTATTATTTTCTTAACAAACTTACCTTTGCTTTGTTTAGTGTTTCTTCTTTTATACAGATCAAGCAAAGGCAAGTTGAGCTGATCTTGGTGTGTTCCATTCCAAAATTAATTGTAGACGTTGCAAGCCTCCATGGAGTTGGTACTCCAAGAGTTAAACCCCCTTGGTATCCATTCATGGAACAATGTCAACTCAAATCAGTCCACACCAAAGGGGAGTTGATTCGAGCTCATCTTGAAGGGAACACTCCATATTTTAGGGATGGTTGTGTACCAAGGGTTCGTTTAAAGAACAAGTACCTCAATGACCATTATGATTTTCGTCTTGCTCTTAGTCCACATGCAGCTCTAACATCACCAAATCCGCCTTGGTGCCTTGCAAATGTGTTCGAGCCGGAGTTCGATTTCACGGGATACACTTCATACCACTTTGAGGACCCTTACCTCATGACCACAAGCAATAAAGTTGAGCATACATTGAAGATGGTTTGTGAGATTCAAGGTTCGACGAGGGTTATTTTCCAACTTAGCACATGGGCTTTGCATTGGATGCCATCTGTAGCCATCATAACAAGATTGAGTCGAAGGCATGTAACTCGTCTTGTCACCATTCGTGCTTCAATTTGTGGGCAAATTGCTTTTAAGAGGAGGGGAATGATGAGAATATAAAGACCAATGCCCATTCAAGCACATGGGGAATTGGAAGATTCAAGTGAAAACTAGTTGATTGCACGAATGCTTGAGTTTAGTAGGATTATTTGATTTTTCTAGTTGATTTTGGTTATTTCTCGTTTTAAAAAGTCTAGGTAATTAAGATAGTTTAATTGCGGCCCATTTGTTAGCAAGTAAGGCCCAAAATCTTTCTTAAGTATGTAGGGTAGTTTGGTCAACTTTTGGATTAGGGTTAATGCTTGTAAGCGCTATAAATAGCCCCACTTCCTCTTTGTTTGGGAGGAGTTTTTGGCTATTAAATACAATTAGTGAGTTTTCACTTTCTCTTTGGCAAGAGAGTTGCCTTTGAATACTTGAGAATCTTCTCAAGTTATTCACCCGAACTTATCAATCGAGTATCTCCTTGATTGTGGCGTTCTATTACCTCCAATTTGGTTCGTTAATTCGAGTAGTTACGGGTTGAGATAATATCAAAATTGTTCGTGACTTCTAGGGATTAGTTGGGTCAAATTTTCGCTGCCTAAGCCATGGTGTTTTGGTTGTTTAGATCGGGGTTTCACATCATTTCCAAGTGGTGGAGAAGTTGAAACACTTAATCATCAAACCCTTTTTAGTAGGAAAAATCAATAAGTGGTAGGCAACTCTGAAACCTATCGCCGCCCCACCAGTAAGTTGGACAAAATTTAGAGAGGAATTCCTGAAATACTTTTTTCCACCGGCTATAAGGATGCAGAAGGTAGATCAGTTTGAAAATTTGAAACAAACTCCATGAATGTCTGTGGTGCAGTATTCGAATAAATTCACAGCGTTAGGAAGGTTTGTTTCATCAATAATGGCAGATGGAGAGTTGAAAAAGTATAAGTTTATAAGTGGGTTGTCGACTAGAATTCACACTAGGGTGAACACCTCTTACACCCCTATGTTTAATGATATGTTGGACGCCAGCGTTAAAGTTGAGACTGATTGCAAAAGATTAGATGAAAAGGGTAGGAGTAAAAGACTTAGACTAGGGAATGAACTTGCAGTGGCGGGAGCACTGAAATCTGGAGGACGGTTCCTGGAGGAAACACCTTTCCTGTGTGCAAAACTTGTGGAAAAATGCATCAGGGAGAATGCCGGCTTAATGCGACTGTCCCCACATGTAAAACTTGTGGAATGATGCACCGAGGGGAATGCCGAGTTGGAACAGGAGCTTGTTTTGAATGTGGACAGCAGGGGCATAGGGCTATGAATTGTCCAAATAGGAAGGTCGAAGGAGATAAGAGCGGAAATCTCACTGATAAGAAGCCAAAGGTTAACGCGAGGGTTCATACCATGACCGATGTTGAGGCGGAGGTGTCAGGCAACGTGGTCACAGGTACTCTTCTAATTAATTCTGTGCCTATATACATGCTATTTGATTGTGGAGTTAGTCACTTTTTTGTTGTTAAAAATTTTACAAAATACTTGTGCATTTCTACTGAATGGACGGACCACCCTTATCAAGTGGCTACTCTAGGAAATAGAATCCTAGTGTCTCATACTAGATATCCAAACTATAATGTGAAATTGGAGGATAGGGGATTAGAAGTGGATCTGGCACAAATAAATATGAGTGATTTTGATGTTATCTTAAGAATGGATTGGCTAGCTCGATATTTTGCACAAATTGATTGTAAGAAGAAGAGGGTGTTATTCATGAAACCGAACGAGAAGGATTTCTCTTATCAAGGAAATGTTGGTGATAGGAAAATTCATAAGTTACCTCTTCTATCTACCATGCAGACATATAGGGCAATAAGAAAAGGGTGCGAGGCATATTTGGCTTATGTTATAGATACGGAGAAAGAGAAGACACCTTTAGAAAAGATTCCGGTTGTGAAGGACTTTCCTAACGTGTTCCCGGAAGAGCTTCCTGGTCTACCTCCGAATAGAAAAATAGAGTTTGAAATAAATATTATACCTGAGACGACTCCCATATCTAAGATCCCCTATAGAATGGCGCCCGCAGAATTAAAGAAACTTAAGGAGCAATTACAGGAACTACTAGATAAGAAGTTCATTAGATCTAGTGTTTCTCCTTGGAGTGCACCAGTACTCTTTATAAAGAAGAAGGATGGTAGCTTGAGATTGTGTATCGATTATAGGGAGTTGAATCGAATCACAATAAAGAACAAATACCCCCTTCCGAGGATAGATGATCTTTTTGACCAATTGAAGGGAGCTAAAGTATTATCTAAGATAGATTTGAGATCTGGATGCCATCAATTGAAAATTAAAGTTGAAGACATCCAGAAAAGTGTATTTCGTACGAGGTACGGGCACTATGAGTTTTTAGTAATACCCTTTGGATTAACCAATGCTCCGGCAACCTTTATGGATCTGATGAATCGGTATTCAAACCGTAACTAGATCGTTTTGTGGTGGTGTTTATCGATAACATTTTAGTGTACTCCTCAAATGAAGAAACTCATGCTACCCACCATAGGGAAGTCTTAGAGATACTAAGAAGAGAGAAATTGTACGTTAAATTTAGTAAATGTAAATTTTGGTTGAAGAGTGTGGCGTTCTTAGGACATGTAATATCAGTTCAAGAGGTGTCTATTGATCCAAAGAAAGTGGAGGCAATTGTAGACTGGTCACGACCCACTAATGTAACCGAAGTAAGGAGTTTGTTGGAGTTGGCTGGCTATTATCGAAAATTTGTGGAAGGCTTCTCCACCCTTGCTATGCCTTTTACTAGGTTGACTAAAAAAAGAGCAAAATTTAAATGGATAGATGAATGTGAAATGAGTTTTCAAAAGTTAAAGGAGAAACTAGTGTCAACCCCAGTACTTACCCTAGCCTCTGGAGCGGAAGGATTTGTGATTTATAGTGATGCCTCTAAAAATGGTTTAGGATGCATTTTGATGCAAAACAGGAGAGTAATTGCTTATGCTTCTCACTAACTAAAACTTTACGAGCAGAATTATCCAACGCATGATTTGAAATTGGCGGCTATAGTGTTTGCGTTGAAAATATAGAGGCATTACTTACATGGTGTGCAATGTGAGATTTTCATCGATCATAAGAGTCTCAAGTATTTATTTACTCAAAGGGAATTGAACATGAGACAGAGAAGGTAGTTAGAATTAATTAAGAATTATGATTTGACAATCAATTACCATCTGGGTAAGGCAAATAAGGTAGTAGATGCTCTCAATACGAAGTGAAGAGTATTAAGAGAACCCACGGCAAAGGATCAGATGGAGAATTTTGAGGTGGAAATGATGGACTCCACGGCTCAAATGCTAGCTGCCTTAATAGTTGCACCTACTTTAATAGATAGGATAAAAGAAACACAACATTCTGATGACGGGTTTGTAAAAATTAAGAAAAAACTTAGAGTGGAACCCTTCGATGGGTTTGAATTAAAAGATGATGGGAGTTTGTGGAAAGATGGTAAATTATGTGTGCCAAGGGATGACGGATTGAAGAAGGAATTGCTAAAGGAGGCATACAATTCAAGATTCTCAATTCACCTTGGTGGGACTAAAATGTACCAAGACTTAAGAGGAATTACGGGTGGAAAGGGATGAAACGAGAAATAGCGGAATATGTAGTGAAGTGTCTGGTATGCCAACAAATAAAGGCCGAGCATCAAAGACCTGCTGGCCTATTGCAACCCCTAGAAATTCCCCAATGGAAGTGAGAACATGTGACAATAGATTTAGTGGTAGGATTGCCTTGAACAATTAGGAATAACAATGTCATCTGGGTAATAGTCGATCAGTTAACCAAATTTGCCCACTTTCTACCACTGTCGAATGGGGTGACAATGGAGAGGTTGGTAGAGATGTATATGGAGGAAATTGTATGTCTTCACGGTATTCCAGTAAGTATAGTATCTGATCGAGATCCCAGATTCATGTCTAGATTTTGGTCGACCTATCAAAAAGTTATGGGGACTGACATGAGATTAAGTACCGCCTTTCACCCTCAAATGGATGGACAATCGGAAAGGACCATACTGACACTGGAAGGCATGCTCAGAACTTGTGCTCTAGACTTCTCGGGTAGTTGGGATAGGTTGGTGAAACTAATGGAGTTCTCGTACAATAATAGCTATCATAGCGGTATAGATATGACACCGTTTGAAGTGTTGTATGGGCGAAAGTATAGATCTCCATTATATTGCGATGAAGTAGGGAAGCTGGTCACTGGCCCCGATTTGGTGGAAAGAACCTTGAAGAAAATTAAGGTTATTCGAGAAAGACTAAAAGTATCTCAAGGCCGGAATAAGAGTTGGGCGGATTCAAAGAGCAGACCTTTAGAGTTTCAACCAGGAGAAAAGATATATTTGAAAGTATCCCCTGCCAAGAGAGTGATGAAATTTAAAAGAAGTGGCAAATTAAATCCGAGGTATGTAGGGCCTTACGAAATACTGGATAGAGTTGGACCTTTAGCATATCGATTGGCTCTCCCGCCAACTTTGTCAATGATATATAATTTTTTTCATGCCTCCCAATTGAGAAAGTATGTATCGGACCCAAGTCATATTTTAGAGGATCAACCCATCGAGGTGAGGGAGAACTTATCAGTGAAAAAAGTTCCTTTAAAAATCGTGGACCGGAATGACCAAATTCTAAGGAGAAGGACCATATCCTACGTCAAGGTGTAATGGACAAACCGAACCATACACCGCGAGAAGCAACGTGGGAGTTGGAGGAGGATATGCGGAATAGATACCCATATCTTTTTTTATCAAAGTACGTAAGTTTCGATGACGAAACTTTTTGTAAGGCGGGCAGAATGTAAAATCCACGTTCTAGCACATGTGTTTATTATTTTGTTTTCTTCAATTAATTAAAATATATATATAGAAAAATTACTATGGGTAAAAATAATAATGATAATAGTAATTTATTAGTAGGATAGGGTAAAGAATTTGTTAGGGGTTAGTAAGGGTATAAGCGTTCATAATAAACTAAAACTCTTATCTAAACCACCAACTAGTGGGTAGTGCTAGGATTTAGAGTTTTATCAAAACAATAGAGAAAAAAAAATTACACCATCCCTACCTTTCTTTCATCTGCCTATCCTAGAGTAAGAATCAACTAAGAGTAGAAGAGAAGAAGAGGATGTCGCCGTCGAATAAGCAGACGATTAAACTCCTAGACCTGTAAGTTCCGAATGCACGCTAAAATTATTTTTCTCTTAAACCTATTTAATTCCATGAATTATTTTGAAAATTTCATGTATATATATGCATGATGATATAGTTCGCCTTGTAGGAGAAATTTAGGAAAATTTATATTTGGATCGATAGGAACAGGGTGCTAAATTTTAGCTATGGGATAGGATGGAATTGAAATCTTCACTTTTGTTAAAAAAAAAAAAAAAAAAAGAGGGGGAGAAGAGGGGGTTGGAGTTACGGCCCCACCGCCGCTGTAGTGCGCCGTTGCTGAAGCGCAATGCAGAAAATTTGGTGTGTGAAGGCAAAGCTGCCAGCACCTGCTGGCGACATAAAAATGGTTGGCCGAATAGGACAGAAAAAAAGAAGCAAGGGAGGAAGTCGCCAACGCATGGTTGGCGACTTCCTCCATTCCAAAGGTTGGCCGAAAGAGAAGCAAAAAAAAATTGAAGTCAAGAATTGCGGCACTGCCAAAGCTTGACAAAAGCATTGGCAACGCCAAGTGAAATAAGAAACAAAAAGGGCCAGGCAAGGAAGGCCAAGGAAAAAAAATAGCAATAATATAATATATATATACACATTTATATATAATGGCAAGTATATTTGGATTCGAAAGATAGCATGGGTTTAGTGGATATGCAGTAAATAAATTGTAGAAATAAATGGACTATCTTCTACGGACTAACGTAGGAATTTTAAATTTCAAACCCAACCTAAGGATAATTCTCGGAGTTAAAGATTAGTTATCTGAAATTATACTCAATTGATTAAGTCTAAGATACTTAAATAGAAATTCAAAACATCTTAATCTAACCTTATTAGATTAATTTAGACAATGTAAGATGAGTTTTAGATTGTTAAATGAAATGCTTAAACTCATAATAATAATAATAATAATAATAATAATAATAAATAAATGATAGTAATAATAATAACAATATAAATATAGATGAAATAAATTAACGTTATAAATGAAAATAAAAAGATAAATACAAGTGGAATAAACGAAGACAATAATTATAACAATAAGTCAATATATATATGTGTATACATAAATGATAATAACACCTACACATGCACAAAAGTGGAAGTAAAGAAAAAGATAATAGTAACTGATTAACAAGTATATATAAGTGGTAATAATATAAAATAGCAATGACGAGGATGATAATAAAAATGGATAATAATGAATTATAAATATGTATAGAAAGATAATAAATATGATTATGAATAATTATTTTCTTCTAAATTAGGAAACTTTACAAAAAGGAGAACTTTCCAAATTAAGAAACTTTTTAAAAATAGAAACTTTCCAATTTAGAAAACTTTCCAAAAATAGAAATCATCCGACTTGGGAAAATGCTACTAGGGTTCATATTATGGTCTAGACATAAATTTTCGACTTGCTCAGAGTCTGTATATTTATGTATCTGTAGGAAATATCAACTAATTAGGAAATCTATGCATTTGATAGGTACGACACAAATTTAAAAGATCTAAAGTAGTCCCACTTGAGCAGTCAGACAAAGGTAGGTTGTACTTACTATTCTGAGATTTCAAAGGTGCACAATGAAATTTTTGTTGTCAATCTTGTTTTGTTGTGTTGACTCGAAATGCATTTGATTGAATGCTTTACTTGGATATTTATGAAAGTTATATTTTTACTATACGAAAATGGACCATGTGAGTTATTTGAAATATTTTGATATCTTAATATATACCAACCGAGCTGTATCTTTTATGAAATCAAAGAACTATGTATGTGAAGTGTGAAATAATTTTATGACAAGTAAAGCTCAAAATATTCATGGAATAGATAGTAGGGGCTATAGTCCTATCTAATGGTTATGGTAGTCTGGTATAAAGTCCGGCCGATTGACAAAATCATGGTAGCCTGGTATAGAGTCCTGCCAATTGACAAGGTCATGGTAGCCTGGTATAAAGTCCGGCCGATTGATCCATATATGTAATGAGACCAATCAGTAATCATGAAACCTATTGGTCCCCAACCTAGAAGGGGTTTAATCTCTAGGTGAAGTACTCAATAGCTGGTCATTACATATACTTGTTATGAGCTGATATGAAATGATTTATGAATTGATATGAAGAGACTTATGAGTTGATATGAAATGATTTATGACTTTATGATTTTTCATGTATAGTTATCAATAAGATGCTTTTAAATTGCTTGTCACTCTTTACTACTGATTATGCGACAACCCCACTTCTCCTTAGGGTG